CCTCCCCCCCTTCTCCAATCCACACACCCCCACACTCCCTTCTAGCACTGATGATGTTACCTAGTTGGGTCATGAAATGTCTGCAAGAAAACAACGAAGCTCAGAGAGCACCAGGGACCCCACAGTGCTACCCTGAGCTACGGCTACTCTCTTCTGTTGGAGGCCTGAAGCGTTCCGATTCTTGGGCTACAGATTTTTCTGGCTCGGCCCGGTGTCCCCGCGACGAATCCTGGCTAACAAGCATTTTATTCCAGGTTGGTGAAGGGAACAGCCTATCACTGGGACCTGCTCCTGGTAGCGCTGATCAACACGGGCCTGTCCGTCTTTGGATTACCCTGGATCCACGCTGCCTTTCCTCACTCGCCGATGCACGTCCGGGCCCTGGCTTACGTCGAGGAAAGGGTTGAGAATGGACACATCTACGAGACGTAAGTCCTGAGTAGAGCTTGCTCTGTTTGGTGGAGTCAGAAGCCATTTCATGGCTTTGGAAGACATTGAGCTGGCCAGCAGTTCCAGAAATCCACTAAAAATTGAAATGGGAGTGGGAAGGGAGTGAACCAGTGGTGGGATTCAACCGGTTCACACAGGTTCGGTAGAACCGGTAGCTAAATTTTGTTGAATTCGGAGAACCGGCTGAACCCATGCTGCTTCTGGAAGTCCGTTCTAGGCTTCGGAGGACGGGAGGAGGTCTCCCAGGTCTAGAACGGCCCACCGGAAGTGCGTGGATGTCACTTCCGGAAGTCAATTGGAGGCCTGGAAGAGGCCTCCCAGGCCTAGAACAGCCCGCAGGAAGTGCATGGATGTCACTTCTGGAAGTCCATTCTAGGTCTGGAGGAGTCTAGAACTGCTCACCGGAAGTGCCAGTTGAAGAAGTGTCAGCTGAAGAATAGGGTAGGGTATGGTAGGGTAGGATAATAGATCAAAACAGAACAGAATAAAAAGAATAGATCAGAATAATAATAATAATAATAATAATAATAATAGAATAGAATAGAATAGAATAGAATAGAATAGAATAGAATAGAATAGAATAGAATTAATTAAGAATAGGAATAGAATAGAATAGAATAGAATTAAGAATAGGAATAGAATAGAATAGAATTAAGAATAGAATTAAGAATAGAATAGAATTTAGAATAGAATAGAATAGAATAGAATAATGATAAGAATAGAATAGAATTAAGAATAGGAATAGAATAGAATTAAGAATAGGAATAGAATAGAATAGAGTAATGATAAGAATAGAATAGAATTAAGAATAGGAATAGAATAGAATTAATAGAATAGAATAGAATAGAATTAAGAATAGGAATAGAATAGAATAGGAAGAG